GAGTTGCAACCAGAGTCACGGAACGGATTAAGTTCGTATCCCGAGGTACCACTGTAGTTAGTGTCTCTCCACATACAACCTGTGAAGAGAATTCTGTTTGAAGAGAATAGAGAAATTTTGGAGACAGGAGAACTTTGGTAGCCCAAGTAGTATAGTACAAGGAAATTGGATTTCTTGGAAGCAACAGTACAAGGGGGGTATTTCCCAGCCTAGGCTAAATGCATCCAGTTGTGACATAGTGTGCTGGACTAAATGAGTTTTTGGCCTGATCTTGCTGGACTCTTCTTAAAATTTACCTCGCTGAACAGAATTTACTGGCCAATGATATAAATGTTGATAATACATATTTTGACCATGACTGAACCAAATGAACCTGGGCAAAAATCTCTCTGGGTTTCCTTGCTGGGATCATTCAGCAGCAGGTTGTGAAATTGAATCCCCAACATTGTGTGGTGGTTGCTGTTAGCTACCCTGTGCTTTTAGTTCATACTGCAGCAAAACAAGAAGAATAAATATTTTTGAATAAAAGAAAGATCTCTGTAAATTAAGAGAATTGATTTAGTTTTGAGTTCAAGCCCAAGGCAGCTAAAGTGAATCCTGTGAGTCACTGATTTTTATGAAACTACTTAGGCAAGGTTTAGAAGACACGTGGTCTCTCTCCAAGAAACAAAGCCAAACATGTAGGATGGTTATTATTTTATCATTCCTCCAAGATCTTGAGGTTACATACATTACATCCTTAAAACTCTCCTGAATAGAGATTGGGCAGACCAGGACTGACCCAAATCACCCAATAAGATTTAAGACTGGAGAGTTGACCACCTGGGCCTCCCCTTTAGGCCAGTATACTAAGAACTAATTTGGCTTTAGACCATCTTAATATAATGTAGATTAACTTGGTTAGATTCTCAGTTTGTTGAGTTCCATTTAGAGAGAGTTTCAGTTAGAGTTAATTCAAGATTTAGGGGGAAGGGGAATCTTGCTATAAATCTGAATTCAATATTCCTGTTGAGAACAAAGGCTAATATTGGCTTCCATCAATCTCTTGGTCCACATCTACCAAAAATGTTGGGCTTCACCTGGTTGGGAGTTATAGCACACACTCGCCCCAGTTTGGAGAATCCCCTTGTATACTCCTTAATCTCTAGGATCAAGATGGGGTCAAGATGTGAGATGGGCGGCCATATAAATTTGATAAATAAATAAAATAAAACAAAATCTCCAGCATTCTTTAATAGAGACTTTCTCCCCCTTCCCGCTCTGCATTCAAATAAATTGTTTTGCTGCCACCTTGTGGCCATGTCTGTATGACTTTAAATAGAATTGTATGGTTTATGACATACAGCTGACTCAATACTTTTGCCAGTCTGACCTGACAATTTTTCAAATGAACACTTTTATTAAAATGCTAAAATCAAAGTGTTTTCTGAACTACCACATCTGGTCTTCTGAGATTTGTAAGGGCTTTTATGGACAGTGCAGTAATAGTTAAGTTTTGACTGCTTTTAACAAACGTAATGAAAAGAATGAAACCCAGGAATAATATTCCTTTCAGGAGCTTCTGTATGGATATTTCTTCAGGAAGAAATCACTGGGCAAGACAGTGTTCATTGAAATTCATTGCATCTCTTCTATCTAGCAGACCTCCTAAATCAAAATCTGACAACTGGGTTGTTAAAGCAAGCCTTCTTTTATATGTCTTAAATGAATGGGAATGTATTATCATACACAAATATGCTTGAGGATTTAGCAAGAGAATTCATTGGACTTTTAGATGAGGGGTTTAAAATTAAATTTATTTCCTAGTAAAGGATAATTGTGGAAAACACATTTAGATTGGTTTGAAGAGTTACATATACAGCCTCTTAATACAGAAAGAAAAATTATTGTCCAAAGCATATGACAGCCTAATGGCATTGGAAAAAACACAAAATGTGGAAAATGAAGTAGCACAGTAATTGGGAGTGGGTGGGTATTGAGATAAAAGAGAATATTTGGCATGTTGGTTTTACCAGTTAAATAAAATGGCAATCTCAACAGCTTTTGAGGGAAAAACATTTGAAGGTCTTGCATAACTTGTTTTTGAGATGTTTAAAACTGAATAAAATGAAGAATTTAGTAACATATTTATGTTGAAGATGCGTGGGTTCCAGGGCAGACAATTTTCATCTGTGGTGGGTGTGAAAAAATGGAAGCATATTGGAAGGAGGCGGTTGATATCATGAAAAGATTCACTACGTGCTCTGTCTCCATAGTACCTAAAATTGCTTACTGGATGTATCAATGATACAGTGACAAAGAATAGGCAAGAAATAATGTCTAAATGCCTTACTATGATAAGAATAAGAATGTCTTCTCTACTGATCAAGTTATGTTTACCATTAATGATTTGGATGAATAGAAGGTGGACTTTACTGTTTCTGGTAAATTAATCCATAGATCAATACAAGAAATAGGCAATACGTTGATGTCCCTTAGTTTTACTTTATATATAATACGACATACTTTAATTTTTACAGCCATTTCAATTTTGTAAGTTTAGTTATTTTAAAAAATAAAATACAATAAAAGAAGCTGGCTTGTTGCAAAGTTCCAGCCTCTAACATCATCTTTATTTCTAGAAATGTGGCAGAGTCCCACTGTGGCTTCATAAGCATTCTTAGACCATAGAAAGGATTGTTGTTTTCACCCAGCAATTTTTTGAAGCATGTTTACCTGCCTGGAAAAAAGACAAATGTAAACTGGGGCAGTCAGGGAGGGCAAGACGGAATGGCTACAGGCAACATCTTTGTGGCTTCTGTTTTTTTTAATTATATACCTTTATTATAAAATGCTATGTACAGGCTACATTAAGTACAACAAATAATATAGAAAATTAAGATCTACAAACATAAATCTGACAAGGATATATATAAAAAAGAAAGAAAAAAGAAAGAAGGAGAAAGGAAAAAAAAGAGGAGAAAAGAAAAAGAAAAAAGAAAAAAATCTTTGTGGCTTCTGTTGACTGGCTGCTTTGTCATTGTCGATGGCCACCGTGGTAGCCACTTGGGGAAAATGCCCAGAATAGAAGTGCCCATCTACTCAAAAAGATTGTCTGCTCCTGATCTATAGGAATGTACTTATGCCTATTTTTCAGCACAAGTGTATGCGTGTGGATGAGCATGTGTTTATAAAATGTTAACTCTTGCATCCAGAACGGCTGAAGGAAGCTGAAACTGCCATGTTTTGCTTTATTTTATTGTTCTGTGAATGATTCTTAGCATATTTATTGTATTCATGTTCATATTAAATTGGAGTGTGACACAGCAGCATTGCAGTGCATACATTCTGACACGAACTTACAGAGTGTAACTTGTGTATGTGGTTCATACTTCTATAGATTTACATTTATAAACTTGGCTACAGAGCCTCGATACGCATCTTCAAACTGATGAGGCCGATCAGTGTTTTCATGACCTGTAAATTGCATTGAATAGGAATGGTTTTCAGAATTGAGTAATACTCTGCATCTGAAACCTGAGTAAGCAGTTGGAAAGAGTTATATTCCATTAATGTCTGCATCTAGCATCCACAAAAAGGAATTGTGTTTCTGTTTGGCAGAATTCTAATAAAATACAATCTGTCTGTAATTTCCTATAATTGCATAGTAACATAGCTTGCCGTTTTGGAAAATCTGGAAATATCAACCTCTCTTTCATTTAAGAAAGACCATCGTTTGTAGTTACCAAAAAAAAAAGGGATAGCAGAAATTGGCAATGAGTTCAAGATCGGTAAGAAGGAAGTGAGAGTTGCATGCTTAAACCAGGGAATGGTGATGTGAAACTGAAAATTTAGTTATAACTATGGCCAGTTAAAAAACTAGTAAGAATGTCCATTAGATCAGTAACTCAGCTACTGAAAAAAAAATTACATGAATTTGTCACCTGAGAACTACGGCTTCTTGAGTTCAATAGGATTTACTTCCCAATAAACCTCTATAAGATTGCAGTGTTTATGTACTCTATAAACAAGGTCTGTTTGTTGATCCTAGTGCCAAATGCTCTTACCCAGTAAGATTATATACAAATCTGTCCCATAAAAGGTTCCCTGAAGAGAGGAGGGAGGGAGGGAGGGAGGGAGGGAGAGAAAGAAAGGAATGAATGAATGAATGAATGCTTTGCTTACTGCTATTCCATTTTCAGCATAGCACCTAATAATGCTTGTGGTTTCTATGCAGGACCTGTTGGACCATTCCTGTACCTCTGGTAGTGGCTCAGGGCTGCCTTTCCTGGTACAAAGAACAGTGGCTCGGCAGATTACCCTGTTGGAGTGCGTAGGTTAGTCATCCTTTGATTTGCTCGTCAATCAAGAACAGCTCTATGAACAAGTACACAAAGAAAAGTTGAGCAATGAGACTTGGAGAAATGTTAAAGCAGTTATCCCAAACCTGTTGTCTTTTAGAGAATTAGATTCTACCTCCCTTCTCTTAGGTTAAGGAAGATTGGGCTAAATGAATATAGGTGGATTGCTTTTTTCAAATGGGGTGCATCCGAATGGTGGGCTTTCACCATTTTAAAATGCTTCCTGAGGCTACACAGAAGAAAACCAGAACATTTTTTCTTCTCTGCTTTTCCTAAACATGGAATGCTTTGAATTAGGTCTAAAAACACTGGCAAGATTAAGAAAGGACACTCAGCCTTAAGCCTTAAAAAATGACACAAGAATCTACTGAGTGTAACTGTATTGTTTTTCTTGGTTGCTCTGTATTTTAATTTTTGTATTTAATTTTTGTATTTAGGATTGTTTTTATTCTATTTGTTGTTGTTTACTGCCCAGAGTCACTTGTTGAGATGGGCAGCTTTACAAATTGATTAAATAAAATAAATAAATAAAATACATCTCGGAGCCAAATAATAGCTTGGGAAGGATAAGAGAAAGGAAATATATATCTGCCTTTGATTGGAATAATTTGAAGCATAAAAGGCTTCCATCAGAAGAGAAGCAGAAACTGTGTGGCCATAATATTAAAATTAGGTTTGCTTGCTGTTGCACAGTCCAGATAAGTTTGTATACGATCCTAGTTTTCCAAATCTTAGAAACTGACTATTGCAAAAGTTACTTGGGAGGTATCCATCTCAGTTCTGGTAAGCTTTTCATGCTGGAACCTAGATTCAGAAATGATGAATTTGAAATGATGATCAGCTCTAGGAGTTCCTTGATGACTGGTGCGGAGGAATTGCTGGCAGCATTCTTCCTCCTTTCTGTACTCTTCCTGGTGCAATTAAGGTTTATTTCTGTCACGCCAAGAGTGAAAGGAGTTTTCAGTGCTTACATCACAGGACTAGCGTGGATGCTATTCCAGTGGGCTTTTCAAATGGCAGCTCTCATGGGAGCCAGTAAGGGGTCTGTTTCCTGGATTAGTAAGAGTTCCCACTCTTTCAGTTTTTGGTAGGTTCTTGAATGTAACAAACAGTTCTAAACCCATGCAATTAACTCGGAAGAGTCACAGCTTTGACAATGGACAAGTCATAAAGAAGAGTTTTTAATATTCTTTATGACTTGTCTGTTGTTAACACGGTGAATATGTACCGTATTAGGAATCTACAGTCCTTATGTGGTCTGAGCCAGTTTTTTCAATACACTCACCTATATCTAAAATTATCAGATAATTGTTGCAGCTGTTTATAGGCTTGGAACTTGGTCTTCTCCTAAGATAGATGGCATCTGTTTTGAGACACTATATGGTTAGCCTGTATTGCATTACTAGTGTCATTTTTGGATAGGAAGTCTCGTCTGTATAATAGGAATTCCTTATAGGTGTCACATGTCTCTTTTCCCCGAATCACATCTGTTGTTGAGGAACATGTGCCAGATATGAAGAAATGAGAGACTCCAATCAGATGTATGTTGCTGACAAACAGAGCAGGTGGCAATGTACTGAATTAAACTTCTTTAGGTTGACCAGGGATACTCTATGTCAGTTTCTTATTCAAGACATGTTAGTGCCACTTAGGGGGGCGGGAGGGAGTAAGTGTCATTTTTTTCTATGGCCGGACCAAGAGCATCACTGGTGTCCTGTTTAAAAACAGTCACTGAGTCTCCAGGTATCTCTTGGGCAGGGGGCAGATCATAATTCAGGGGGAGAATATATGCTTTGCAGCAATCCAGAGTATCTTGGAATAAGAGTTGGGGAAAGATGGAGGTGATTGCCCATGATTAATGTTTGGAGTTTAATCACACATAAGTTTGAAACACCTCAACAAGTCACCTACATTTAACTCTGTTTTCAGGTTTTAGAACAAGACGTTGAGACAGAATTAGTCAACCTATCTGTCAATATCACAGTGTTTCAGCAGTTGTTAGTATCTGCTTGCTAAATGGAGAGAAATGGTAGATTAGTTGCAATTAGTCATTGCTGGGTGTTTGTGTCAGGGCTCATGTGGAGGGGGATGTAGCTACCTCTGGAGTTAGATTCAGGCTTGAGCCTTATTGCTGTCAGGCAGGGGTATTCAGACTGTGAGTAACAAGCCTCCAGAATACTGTGAGCCAACTTGAGAAGGGTTGCAGATTGATGGGCTTGTGCACACAGAGCAGGATCACCACCAGAACTCCTTCCCACTCTTTACTGGGTAAGCCAACCGCAAGTCTGGGTTTTCTATATTGCTGCTATAAATAAAAAGGAGAAATGAAAGTGGCTGCCTCAAAAATAAAATCCAGATTTCAGGCCTTTCCCATTAAACCATTATTTCCAGTGTAAAGGCTTTCTTTCATAAAGTTGCAAAGTTCCTTCATGATTTATTTGATATCTAGGTTAAAATTTAACTATTAAAAGTGACTAATTTATTTCTGGCCCAGCTCTAACCCCAATGATATTGTTGGTTTTATTCATGGGATAGTGTGCATACAAGTTCACCCCTCTTTTTAGGGGGTTAAGGCACTGCAAAGTTGAGAACCTCTGCCATAAGATGATAGAGATTCAGACATCCCCTTCCCCCTCAGTCCAGCAGCGTAACCTTTGGAGGCTCATAAATATGGATGTTGAATACAGTTTCTGGTTTGGGTGATAAGCCAAAAACTTTTCCTTTGAATGAAGAGCTATAGATAAAAATCTCCTTTGTTTGTGCTTTCTAGGGAAAGGCCGATATGGAGAAGTCTGGCGAGGACAGTGGCAAGGAGAGAACATTGCTGTCAAGATCTTTTCTTCCCGAGATGAAAAGTCCTGGTTCAGAGAAACAGAATTATACAATACTGTGTTGCTGAGGCATGAAAATATTTTAGGTGGGGAGAAGAATGGCATTGCTTGTGGGCCTAGACAGATGGGGAGAGTTTTGTGAACCGAGACCCCAAATCTGCTGAGACCATCCAATTTAGCTTTTTCTCTTGTCCTTTGTGAAGAAATAGAGAAGTAAACTTAGTTGTCAGAGTAGGAGAGAGGTTAGATAAGACCAAATAATAGAGAATAATTTTTAGTTTAGAAAGAATATATTCTTTAGCCTGTTCACCCTAGGAAGCCGTTAAGTCCGCCAGTTCATACACATTTGTATAATTCTATAAATAAAAAACCTGAACTGCAATGGAATAAAGCAGTTGTACTGTGAATAAACTGGAGTGGGTTGGTTGCCATAAAAATACCAAATAGATTTCTGAACCATGCTTGCCAAGTGGCATTTAAATAAAGCATGGTGTTTCAAAGGCTTGGGAAGACCTTTTATGCCCGGATTCAAAGTCTATGTTTTATCCTTTGCAGACGTTTTCTTCTCCTTTATCTAATAAGTCGGAGGTATGGGGCGACAAAATAGAATGTCTCCTCCTAACCACAGGAAAAGCAGGGGGGGGGATAAAAAAATCAGAATTTAACCATAGGCCAGGTGGGCTGTAGAACTGAGGCAGGTCTTGATACCATCTCAGTTCAGACCTGGTCCTTCTAGGCTTTCTGCCTGTGTGCAGTTGTCTTTTGGCATGCTTTGGTGGGCACGTGGTTCCTCCCTGAACCCTCTGCATAGGGGGGAGGAGGATGAGTGCAAGGGCACACAGTTTAGTCTCAGACCAATAGGGAGGGGAACTTGCAGCGGTATGTTGCTGGGGGCAGCAGAAAAGGGATGGACGTTACGTTGCCAGGTTAATGGTGCATGTGTCAGGAGCTGTTTGCATAGAACGCAGCACATAGTCAAGTGCTTTCTGTGCAGTTGCTTCCATATTTCAATCAGGTGGTGGCTAAAGCCAACTTACGTTTACTTCGAGGGCCACAGGGTGGCGCCTGGGGGAAGCATTCAGGTGCTTTCCTGTCTTCAGTGCACCTGGTAGATTTAAATGGCTGTTATCCTCCCACCTTTGTTTTTAACCCAGTCTGCCTTTTGGTGCAGGAATATACTAGAGGAACTGGTATAGCTTCCTTTGTTAATGTTGGAAGAACCTTCATCAAGCTGTTTTCTCCAGGTTTTAAAACTAGTTCAGTATCTTATTCCTCTAGTCTACACAATGCCTTCTCTCATTTCTGGGAAGTGTTTCTGCTGTGTTTCTAATTGAGCACTTAAGCAAATGTAAGAATTGGCTGAGCTGGGTAGTGTGTGTATGTTTGGGTGCAGAGGACAGCTCCCCATGGTAGTGGCAAGTTGTATGTCTGGAAAAAATGCTCTTGGGTTTCTGCCAGAGGAGACGAACTCCAAGTTCTAGAATTGTATGGAGGTTAATCATTCTGTAGATTCAGTTTCAGATTCAGTTCTGAAGAAGTGCTTCAGAACTCACAGGAGCACCTGGCTGTGACTCATTGCTACACAGGCCATCCTGGAAACAGAAGCAGTTGCTTTACTGAGTCACAAGATTCATACTCCTGCAGATTCCAAAGAATCTTTTCCAGAGTGATTCCAAACCATTACCCAGCCCAATGATCATTTAATGAAGGAATTGCTGACATAAAAAGGAAAGGAATTATACTCATAAACAGAGCAAGAAATTGCAACATTTTGAGCATTTTCATGTCTTCAGCCATAACTAGGGGAGAATATTTAACATCTTTTTTTGAAGATTTTATTTATTTATATTTAAAATTTGTCACCGCCCATCTCACTGCAGGCCAATTGTTTAGTGAGCAATAGAACTTGCCTTTTGTACTAAGAACAGCCTGGATTCAGTTCTCATTGGTTTTAGGGATAGTGGGGAATGGTGCAGTTTTGGGACAGTTCAGCTCAGAGTTCATCAACCTGGTGCTTTGGAGATGTTTTGGACCATGGCTTCCTCTGTTCCTTAGCAATGACCATATTGGCTGCATTTGATGGGAACTGAAGTCCAGCTCATCTGGAGGGCTCAAGGTTGCTTACCCCTGGTTTGTATCATATGAGTATCTGATAGGTTACCTTTCTGAGGAATGTTTCTGTCCCTTTCAGGTTTTATTGCCTCAGACATGACATCACGGAATTCCAGCACTCAGTTGTGGCTAATCACGCATTACCATGAAATGGGCTCGCTCTATGACTACCTGCAACTCACAACGTTGGACACAGTGAGCTGCTTACGAATAGTCTTGTCCATAGCTAGTGGCCTTGCTCATTTGCACATTGAGATATTTGGGACCCAAGGAAAACCTGCCATTGCTCATCGGGACTTGAAGAGTAAAAATATCCTCGTTAAGAAAAATGGGCAGTGTTGCATTGCAGATCTAGGTAAGTAGCTTCCTGTTTCCTTTTCCACATGTCCAGCATGAGTAGTTTATTACTGAGAGAGTATATAGGTTGCCAAACCAACTAATCAATGAAAATTCACGGGGGATAAAAGGAAAAGAAAAGCCAATGTAACAATAACAGATAGGTTTGTATGTAAATCTAAATCACAAAGGTTTATAGGCTTTAAGGATGATTAAAGATTAAAGATGCTACATTAGCCAGTGTAATGATTGGGGTATACATTGAAGGGAATGTCATTCATGCTTTCCTTGGTGTCACCTGATAGGATTACCGTATTTTTCCGACTATAAGACGATACTTTTTTCTAAAATCCTTACACTAAAAATTGAAGGGCGTCTTATGCAAGGAAG